TGTTAACTCTTCTTTGTAGAATTTCCTGGGAAAGCCATCTGGCCCTGGACTCTTGTTTTTTAGGAGATTTTTTAATTACTCTTTCGATTTATTTTCTGGTTATGGGTCTATTCAAATTTGCTACTCTTGTTTCAGTTTTGGTAGTTTATATGTTTCTAAGTTTGTCCATTTCTTCCAGACTGCCCAATATATTGGCATATAATTGCTCATAATATTCTCTTATTATTGTTTCTAACTCTGCAAATTCATGATTTTATTTATTTGAGTCCTTTCCTTTTTCTTTTTGATTAAACTGGCTAGGGGTTTATCAATTTTGTTAATTCTTTCAAAGAACTAGCTCCTGGTTTCATTGATCTGTTCTACTATATTTTTTGTTTTGTTTTGTTTTGTTTTGTTTTATTCAGTAGCATTGATTTCCTGTCTTCTGCTGGTTTGGGGTTTTATTTGCCGTTTTTTTTCCCCAGCTCTATCAGGTGTAAGGTTGGGTTGTGTATCTGAGACCTTCCTTCCTTCTTTAAGAAGGCCTGGATTGCTATATATGTCCCTTTTATGACCACCCTTGCTTCATTCCAGAGGTTTTGGGCTGTGGTGTTATCATTTTCATTGGCTTCCATGTACTTCTTAATTTCCTCTTTAACTTCTTGGTTAGCCCATTCATTCTTTAGTAGGATGTTCTTTAGTTTCCAAGTATTTGTTGTCTTAACAAATTTGTTCCTGTGGTTGATTTTGAATTTCAAAGCGTTGTGGTCTGAAAATATGCAGAGTATAATCTTGATTTTTTTTTTTTACTTGTTGAGGGCTGATTTGTGTCCCAGTATGTGATCTATTTGGGAGAATGTTCCATGTGCATTTGAGAAGAACGTGTATTCTGCTGCTTTAGGATGAAATGTTCGGAATATATCTGTTAAGTCCATCCAGGCCAGCGTGTTATTCAAAGCCATTGTTTCCTTGTTGATTTTCTGTTTAGATGATCTGTCTGTTGCAGTAAGTGGAGGTGTTGAGGTCCCCTACTATTATGGTATTATTTTCAATGAGTTTCTGTAGGTTTGTGATTAATTGATTTATATATTTGGGTGCTCTCATATTTGGGGCATAAATGTTTATAATTTTTAGATGTTCTTGGTGGATAGACCCCTTAGTTATGATATAATGCCCTTCTTCATCTCTTTTTACAGTCTTTATTTTAAAATCTAGATTGTCTGACATAAGTGTAGCTCCTTCAGCTTTCTTTTGGCAACCATTAGCATGATAGATGGTTCTCCATCCCCTTACCTTCAACCTGAAGGTGTCTTTAGGTATAAAATGGGTCTCTTGTAAAAAGCATATAGATGCATCTTGTTTTCTTATCTGTTATCCTGTGTCTTTTGATTGGAGTGTTTAGTCCATGGACATTTAGAGTGAGTACAGAAAAATATGAATTTATTGCCATTGTGTTGCCTGTAGAGTTGGAGTTTCTGGTCCTGTCCTCTGGTCCGTTCTAGTCTTTGTAACTTTTTGTCTTTTTTTTTTTTTTCCATCTTTTCTCCATTCAGAGAGTCCAACTTAAAATTTCTTGTGGGACTGCTTTAGTGGTCACAAACTCCTTTAGTTTTTGTTTGGGAAACTTTTTATCTCTCCTTCTATTTTGAATACCAGTCTTGCTGGGTAAAGAATTCTTGGCTGCATATTTTTCCAATTCAGCGCATTGAATATATCCTGCCACTCCTTTCTGTCCTGCCCTGTTTCTGTGGATGGCTCTGCTGTGAACCTGATCTGTCTTCCCTTGTAGGTTAAGGACTTTTTTCCCTTGCTGCTTTCATGAATCTTTCCTTATCTGTGTATTTTGTGAATTTGACTATGATATGCCTTGGTGCTGTTTGTATTTTATTGAACCTAATGGGACATCTCTGTGCTTCCTGGATTTTTGATGTCTGTGTCTTTCCCCCAGGTTAGGAAAGTTTTCCATTGTGATTTGCTCACATAAACCTTTTCTCTTTCTTCATATTCTGGGACCCCTATGATTCAGATGTTATTCCTTTTGAATGAGTCACTGAGTTCTCTAATTCTTTTTTTTTTTTTTTAATATTTTTATTTATTTCTAGGAGAGAGAGAGAGAGAGAGACAGACAGCGTGAGCAGGGGAGGGTCAGAGAGAGAGGGAGTCACAGACTGAAACAGGCTCCAGGCTCTGAGCTGGCAGTCAGCACAGAGCCCGATGTGGGGCTCGAACCCACGAACCGCGAGATCATGACCTAAGCGAAAGTCGGACGCTTAACCGAGTAAGCCATCCAGGCGCCCCAAGTACTCTAATTCTTATATCATGTTCTTTTGCCTTAGTTTCCCTCTCTTATTCTGCTTCATTATTCTCCAGAAGTTTATCCTCTATATCACTGATTCACTGTTTTGCTTCATTCATCCTTGATGCTGTGGCATCCATTCGAGATTGCATCTCAGTTATAGCATTTTTAATTTCATCTTGACTAGATTTTACTTCTTTTATCTCTACAGAAAGGGAGTCTATGCTTTTTCAACCCCAGCTACTATTCTTATTATCATGATTCTAAATTCTGGTTCAGACATCTTGGTTGTATCTGTATTGATTAAATCCCTGGCTGTCATATCTTCCTGTTCTTTCTTTTGGGTGAATTCCTTCATTCCATCATTTTTGGAGGAAAGAAAAAGAATTAATAAAATAAAATAAATAAAAATTAAGAAATTAAAAACAACATAAAAAATCAAATGAAGGGTGCTAGATCCTAGCTGTGTTTTGGTCTGGTTATTGAAAGAAGCTTGATACAATAGAGAAAAAAGGGAAAGAAAAGAGAAAAAAAAGAAAAAAGAAAACATTTGAAGAATTTAAAAAATGAATACAGTAAACTAGAATAAAATGAAATGATGAAAGTAAAAATAAAATTTAAAAAACTTACAAAGAAGTAAAAAATATAGTAGAGAAAAATCTTTTATAAAAATGGAAAATAAAAATAATTTTTTTCTCTTTCTGTATTCAAGAATAAGAATAAAAATTTGAAATGATGGACCAGGGAACAGAATGAAATATGATTGAAATACATCCAGTTTCCCCTAGAAATCAAAGTAGGAAGCCCTTTATAGTCCATAAACTAAGAAGGTGGGGAGATTTGTGGTGATCCTCTAGAGGACAGTTGGCCCAGTTGGGTGGGGTTTGTTGGTGTAGCGGCTCTGTTTTCCACTAGATGGCGCTGCTGAGTTTACTGGGGTGGATCATCATGGTGCTTATGAGCATGTATGCGCATGGGCAGGAGGGAGGAAAATGGCGTCACCCACCTACCCAGTCTCTAGTACTCTGTGCTCTCCCTGACCAGCAATCAAGCACCCCTCCTTTGTCTCAGGCTTCCGTCCACTCTCTGCTTCTACACTGTTGGCGATCACACTGTCCTCCTGCCAGGTGGCACCTCCCTCCCGAGTTTTATCTCAAATGGGGCTGAGGTAAAACTCACTTCTGAGGTACCTGTGGCTTTGACCCGGTCAGACCCTTTGGGGAAGAGTCTTGCTGAGCTATGGCCAGCCACCAGCCGGCCCCTGGAACGTTCCTGTGACCACGCTGCTGCAGATGCTCGGAGACCGTGGCTGCGTGCCAGTCCGCCCCAGAAAAAGTTTGCAGGACCGTGTGGCAGCAGTGTTTCAGGGATTATGGAAAATCACAACACAGATCTGGTGCCAGACTTCACTCTTAGCGTCCTTGTTCCAGCACCAGCAAATGTGGTTGTTCTCCAGGGTCCAGTGGGAACTTTGCCTGTGGGGGGTGCTGCACAGCCTCTACCAAATGTCCTCCCAGCAGGGGAGCCGCCTCTGCCCATGTGGCCCAATGACCTCTGGGACCTCACTGTCTGCTCCTGGGAATTCACCCTTCCCACCAGAGCGCCACCCGGTGTCGCGCTGCAGAGTTGCAGACTCTACTCCCCTGTTTACAAAGTCTTAATAGTATTTAAACCCTCTCCTTTCTCCTTTCTCTATTTCTTGTTCAGTCTCTTCAGGGTATTTCTACTTTTTCTCTTTCTCTCCAGCTGCTTTCAGGGAGAATGCTTTTCCTATATTCTCCCCACTGTCTCTGTCTTCCCTCTGAAAGCAAAAACAGGTCCTACCCTCCATGGGTTCTCTCTTCCTCAGTTCACCTCTCCATGCCACATACCTTATGAGTTCTGTGGTTCACGTTGTAAAGATCGTGTTAATCCTCAGATCAGTTTTCTAGGTGTGCAAGATGGTTTGGTGTTGATCTAGCTGCATTTCAGGGACAAGAGAGGCAAAAAAACCCAAACAAACCCACATGGATATTAATGATTGACTTCCCACTTTATTAAATGAGATTTTTCTCTTTCACGTGGCATTGGATCTGTAGGGGGTCGGCTGATCTAGCCAGGCAAGGCTGATTAGACGGCTTTAAGCGGTGGGCCCAGCTGAACTTGGCTCCTTGCTACAAGCTGAGTTGAAGTCTGCTTCACATAGATTTATGCTGCAGTCCAAGGTGAAGAGCAGGAGCTCTTCTCAGGGACAGGGAAGCTCTTTGATGATGATGGCAAAGGCGCAGGAGAGTAGGCTCAGCTGCGCAAACCCCTTCCAACATCTCATTGGCCGAAGTACCTCTCGCAGCTGAAGTCAAGGGTGAGGAATTGCGCTCTGTCTCTACTTGTAGGGACTGCAAAGAGATATGGCAAAGGGTGTGGATACAGAGAAGGGTGAGGGATTGGGGCCGTGTATTTAACCTACTATACTTGGCTTAATTATATTTTGTTAACAGACCTCTCCGTGAGTCACATCGTATTTGAGCTCAAGTAATACCACAACACAGCTTTGCCTGATGGTTGCCCTCTTTTAAGTGGCTGGTAATCATTTGATGATTAGTTTCTTAAATCTCAAGACTACACAGGGTTCTGAGAAAGAATTTTGTGAGATGGTTTAGGTTTGCAGGATGAAAAAGTTTGGGGTGCAGGTTCTTTAATGTCAGTCTGGCTTGAAACACCTTTGTCCTTTTTCCCTTCTCTGCAGTGAAGACTATCTTCAGATGCTGTGTGGACAATGAGTTGCTGCAGAAGCATCATTTGATCTGCCCAGATGATTACTACAGTGATCCCGTGCCATTCTGCTCTGCACCTAAAGGTAATGTTCCTGTGCTCAGTCAGAGCCTTTGGTATCATTCCAGGGTATTCTTTTTTTTTTTAATGTTTTATTTATTTCTAGGAGAGAGAGAGAGACAGTGTGAGTGGGGGAAGGTCAGAGAGAGAGGGAGTCACAGACTGAAACAGGCTCCAGGCTCTGAGCTGGCAGTCAGCACAGAGCCCGATGCGGGGCTTGAACCCACGAACCGCGAGATCATGACCTAAGCGAAAGTCGGACGCTTAACCGACTAAGCCACCCAGGCGCCCCGTTTTCCAGGGTGTTCTTTAGTCGCAGGACCACACTGGCCGCCTTTGTTGCCATTTCCCCAGTGACTTTCCCCCCTTTTTCATTTAATTTGATCCTGACTATTGGGAGGGTCAGCTCTAAGCATTCCACATCCTCTCTAACACCTGCAAGACCAAAGTCTCAACTCCTTAATGTGGAATATGCATCCTTGTTAGCTGCTCAACTCTGAGAGATATGAAAATGTTTAGAAAAGTAGTTGGGGGCACCTGGGTGGCTCAGTTGGTTAAATGTCCGACTCTTGATTTTGGCTCAGGTCATAGTCTCATGGTTCATGAATTTGAGCCTGCTTTGGACTGTGCACTGATAGTATGGAGCCTGCTTGAGATTCTTTCTCTCTCCCTCTCTCTCTGCCCCTCCTCTGCATGCTCTCTCTCTCTCTCTCTCAAAAGAAAAAAGAAAAGAAAAGTTGCTGAATGAACCAAGAGAGGGTGGGTCTGAAGACCCAGATAAGTAAGGGAGCAAGTTCCTGACGGATTCATGACGTGGACTGTGAGGTCTTTCCACACCCCATGTAGGAAAAGAGGGAAAAGAGCAACTTTTTCGTCCTTTAACGAGTACTGTGGGAAGACTGAGCAGAGAAGCAGGGAGGCTGTGGTGTGTATGCGTGTGTGATGCCAGGTCACTTTCCTGTGATATGGGAGGCAAGATCTTCTGAGAGTGAGTGGAGTGGGAGCTTGGTTGTGGGCTTAAGCAGGGAGGTAGACTTTTGGGAGAGTCACAGTATGGACAGGCGGAAGTTGCTCTGTGGATTCTGTGGCTACGTGTCGGGATGGCCCAGCGGTGCCAGGTTTGGAAGATGAGCTCACCAGCCACCCGGTCAGTGGGACTCTGTGATAGTCTCCGAGGCTTTGGAGCCAAGATGGTATTTGGGGTGGGGAGGTTGTGACCCAGAGAACTGAGGGTGCTGATGAGAACAGCGTTCCACTGACAGCCTGAGCCATGTAGAGAAGGCAGACCAGAGAGAGAGAGAGAGGTAGCAGAGTTAAGTGTCATGCAACACCAAGCCACTTAACATTGTGAAGTTGGTTGGAAATTCACTGTTATGCAGGTAAAGAAGAATAGAATTAACATGTATTGAGGATTGACCCGGTATTGTACTTCTACCAGTTTCATTGCTTTCTTGCTGGCAATGAATGTTCTCCTTTAACCTTTTGGGGATGGTCTTATAGGTATAAAAAACTAATACCAACTTTGATTCCTCATGTGAACTTTAAAAAAAAAATCTTTTTAATGTTTTATTTTATTTCTGAGGGAGAGAGACAGCGTGAGCAAGGGAGGGTCAGAGAGAGGGGGAGAAACAGAATCTGAAGCAGGTTCCAGGCTCTGAGCTGTCAGCACAGAGCCCGACGCAAGGCTCGAACCCACGAACTGTGAGATCATGACCTGAGCCGAAGTCAGACACGTAACCGACTGAGCCACCCAGGCACCTCTCATGTGAACTCTTTGAAAAGCAGGTTCACATGTAGGGTATCGGTGCGTGCATTAGACAGACAGACAGACAGCCGTCTACTCATGTTCTTTGACCATCTTTGACAATCAAACACTTTAACACTCTATTCCTACATAGGATAAGTTCCAGGAATAGTTTATATGCGAAAGAGCAATTATATCTCATCTTAGAAATGCCCACCTCATCTGCGGTAGCTCAGTTTGATTCTTTGGTGCCACAGGGGTCTCCATCCCCAGGTGTTCAAAATTCACATTCAGTTATGAGAAGTGTTCTGTCCCAACGAAATACATGGCCAAGAAGCTTGAAGCTTCCTGCAGAAAGCTGCTCACCAAGTTTGAAGAGGAGCCAGACTACACTGTGGACAGTCTGACGTGGGACTCATCTTTAAAGGCCAAACGCAAGACTGTCCAGGTTGGTGTGGAAGCCTGTGCGCGGTGGCGTGTGGGCAGCAGGCACAGGGAGGTCGTGGGAGCGGGGAGGCGTTCCAGGTGACACAGGAAGTTGTGGGTCCAACAGTGGAATGGGGAGGAGAGTTTGCATTGATTTTCCATGGGTCACGCAGCTGGCCACATGTCAGCACACACAGTCCCCCTGCCTGTCATCGACTCCATTTTTGTGTGTGTTTCAAAGAAAACAGGCCCACCCAAGAATAAGAGCTGGATGAACCACGTACGGGTGCCCCAGAGAGAACTGGAGCGGCTTCTGCTTGCCAGGATGGACAGTCGGAGCCGCTTCCTTAAAAACCCCCGGTTTTTCCCCCCTAACACTCCATGTGGAGGCAAGTCCCTTCTCTTCCCTCTGAAGAAGCCAGTGCTGAGAGGAGCATTACAGAGTGGAGAGCCAGTGGAGAGGTGCGTCTTGCCCTGACTTGTAGGATCAGAACGTCAGACCCTTTGGAGGAAACCCAGAAGGTCCTGCGTCTGCCCTGGGTTAGGGAAGGTCCTAGACTTCGGGGGACAGTGTGTCAGCATTGGAACAGAGCAGGGCTTCAGGGCTCCCTGCAGACCTGGCCTTCGGACACCCCCCAGGGGCCTGGGCTGTGCTTTCCTGACCTGCCAGGGTTTTGAGGGATCAGGGTGGGGCGGGTCCTCTGCTTACAGCCGAACAGTCTCGGTCAGATGGGAGCGATCTGTGTAGCCACATGTTCTTCCGTTGCACTCGTGTGTCTTGGAACAGGAATGCAAAAATAAAAATACTTAACATTTGAGTAATTACAAATAATAAATATACATTGTGACTTTCTTTCAGAGAGAGAGCCTTTGGCTTATTTCATTAATTGTCCTCCTTAAAGGAGTGAATTGCTTTAGGAGTCCATTGTGTTAATGGACTTAAAACTGTTCACATTTGTTGGTCAAATATCTTTCTATTCAGAAAAATTAGAAGATTAGTATTTTCAAAGAAAAACAGCAGCCATAGTAAAAACCTAGTTAGGATCTTGGTGTGGAAGCTTCCAGAGCTGAGGCTTCCTATGCACAATGAAAATGAAACCCACAACTGTACATATCTTCATGAAGAGTCTATCATATGGTAAAATTATTTTGTCACCTGCTTTAACAACAGGAACAGAATCCAGTAAATGACATCTTGTGAAAATCTTTGATGGCTTGGATGTATTTACTTTACACGAAGCACATGGATGAAATTAATGGCCCTTCTCCCCTCGTTTGCCTTCCCGCAGTTGTGCTGATACCCCAGTGTTCCTTGCTGAACCATCAATCGGATTTTTCACAGATTATGAAATTGGGCCAGTTTATGAGGTAAAAATCTTATTTCTTGGGGCACTTGGGGGGCTCAGCGCGTTAAGCTTCTGATGCTTGAGCTCAGCTCATGTCTTGATCTCAGGCCATAGAGCCTACTTATAAAAAAACCAGTCTTATTTCTTTACAGCTCCCACTTCATCAGCTTCCTTATTTTTTTAAGTGGTTTGTGGAATTTTAAAACCATATACAAAATTAGGGAGCAGACTATGATACGCATCTCTTACTTCTTGAGGTAGGCCTGTGTTGCTGTAGATCTCCCTCGCAGAACCACTTTCACCGCATCCCAAAGATTTTGGACCATTGTGTTTTCATTTTCATTTGTGTCAGTTTATTTCTTTTTTATTTCCTCTTCGATTTCTTCACTGTCTCAATGGTTGTTTAGTAGCATGTTGTTTGGCCTCCATGTGTTTGTGTTTTTTCTAGCTTTTTTTTCCTTGTAATTGATTTCTAGTTCCATGTTGCTGTGGTTGGAAAAGATGCTGAATATGATTTTACTCTTCTCACATTTCTTGAGAGTTGTTTTGTGGCTTAACATGAGATCTGGTCTGGAGTATGTTCCGTGTGCACTTGAGAAGACTGTGTATTCTGGGGCTCCTGGGGGCTCAGTCGGTTAAGCATCCAAATTTGGCTCAGGTCATGATCTCATAGCTTGTGAGTTCAAGCCCTGCGTGGGGCTCTGTGCTGACAGCTCAGAGCCTGGAGCCCATTTCGGATTCTGTATTTCTGTCTCTCTCTGACCCTCCCTTGTTCGTACTTTCTCTCTCTCTCTCTCTCAAGATTAAATAAATTAAAAAAAAAAAACAAAAAAAAACTCCTAGAAGAAAACATAGGTGGCAGCAAGCTCCTGGGGCCTGGTAACGATTTTTGGATCTGACACCAAAAGCAAAAACAAAAGCAGAAGTAAGCTAGTGGGCCTGCATTGAGCTGATGAGCTCCTGCACAGCAAAGGAGACCATCAGCAAGGTGAAAGGCCAACTATGGCCCAGGAGAAAGTATTTGCAAATCACAGCTCTGATAAGGGGTTAATAAGCAAATATATAAGGAATTCATACAACTCAACAGCAAAAACAAAAACCAAGCAATCCAATTAAAAACTAGGCAGAAGGGGGCGCCTGGCTGGTTCATTTGGTGGAGCATGTGACTCCTGATCTGGGGTTGTGAGTTCAAGCCCTGCGTGGGGCTCTGTGCTGACAGCTCAGAGCCTGGAGCCTGCTTTGGATTCTGTGTCCCTCTCTCTCTCTGCCCCTCCCCTGCTCATGCTCTGTCTCTCTCAAAAATAAACAAACATTAAAAAAAGAAAAGAATGTATATTTTGTTGAATTTGGATGGAATGTTCCGTACGTATCTGTTCAGTCCATCTGTTGTAATGTGCTGGTCAAAGACACTGTGTCCCTATTGAGTTTCTGCCTGGATGATCTATCCATTGATGTAAGTGGGGTGTTAAAGTCCCCTACTATGGGGCCGTCTGTGTGGCTCAGTCAGTTAAGCCTCTGACTCTTGATATCTGCTCAGGTCACGATCTCACGGTTCTTGAGACTGAGCTGACAGCACAGAGCCCGCTTGGGATTCTCTCTCTCTGCCGATTCCCTGCTTGGGCTCTCTCTTTCAAAATAAATAAACATTTTTTAAAAATTCCCTACTATTATTGTATTACTGTCAATTTTTCCGTTTATGTCTGTTAATATTTGCTTTGTATGTTTAGATGCTCCAATATTGGGCATATAGATGTTTACAATAGTTATACCCTCTTATTATATGGCTCCCTTTATCATTATGTAAGGCCCTTCTCTGTCTCTTGTTACAGTCTTTGTTTTAAAGTCTGTTTTTCCTACCTTGGCTTTTTTTTTTCCTCACTTTCATTTGCACAGAATATATTTTTCCATTCCTTAACTTTCGGTGTGTGTGTGTCTTCAAATCTGAAGTGAGTCTCTTGTAGGCAGCATACAGAGGGCTCTGGTTTTTCACCCCTTTGTCATTCTGCGTCTTTTGATTGGAGCTTTTAGAACATTAACATTTAAAGTAGTTATTGATAAGTATGAACATACTGCCATTTTATTAATTGTTTTCTGGGGGCGCCTGGGTGGCTTAGTCGGTTAAGCGTCCGACTTTCGCTTAGGTCATGATCTCGCGGTTCGTGGGTTCAAGCCCCGCATCGGGCTCTGTGCTGACTGCCAGCTCAGAGCCTGGAGCCTGTTTCAGTCTGTGACTCCCTTTCTCTCTGACCCTCCCCTGCTCACGCTGTCTCTCTCTCTTTCTCTCCTAGAAATAAATAAAAACATTAAAAAAAATTGTTTTCTGGTTATTTTTGTAGTTCTTTTCTATTCCTTTCTTCTCTGGCCATCTTTCCTTGTGATCATTTTCTTTAATGTTACGCTTGGTTTTCTTTCTCTTCATTTTTTTGTGTGTCATCAAAGGTTTTTGTTCTGTGGTTAACCTGAGATTCATATATAACATCCTAAGTATACAGCAGTCTGTATGAAGTTGATGGTCACTTAAGTTTGGACACATTGTGAAAAAGCTTCGTTTTCACTTTCCTCTCCACGTTTTCTGTATGTATTACCATATTTTACATCTTTTTATTTTGTGAGTCCTTAGCTAATTAGATATAATTGATTTTACTTCTTTTGTCTTTTCAGCTTCATTCAAGCTTTATAAGTGATGACTCCACTACCTCTACTGTTTGATTCCTCTGACTCCTAAATTTTTTTCTTTTCATAATTTTATTTCTAATTATGCCTTCCTTTCCCACGGAAAGAAAGGACTTTTTAGTGGTGATGAACTCCTTTCACTTTTAATCTCTCCTTCAGTTCTGAATGATAACCTTACTGGGTAGGATGTTCTCTGTTGTGCGTTTTTAACTTCCAGCACTAGGAGTGCATCACGCCACTTCCTTCTGGCCTGCGAAGTTTCTGCCGAAAAATCATCTGATAGGTTTATGGGGTTTCCCTTGTGGTAATGAGGTGCTTCTCTCTTGTCGCTTTTAAAATTCAGTCTTTAGTTTTAGTCTTAGGCACTTTGGTCAGTGCTGCCGTGGCGTGGGCCTCCTTGGGCTTTTCTCCCTGGGGCTCTTGGTGCTTCCGTGGTCTCTGTCGCCTGTCCTGCGGAGGCTGTGCCGTCCGCCCTCATTCTCCAGGAGGAATTTCACTGTAAAAAGGTGTCGGGTCAGAGCATCTGTGGAGGCGGGGAGCTGGGGGTCCTCCTACCTTGCCATCTTGGGCCAGGAGTCCCTCCACCTGCTTTCTAAAAATACCATTTATTTGCTGAAACTGTAGTTTCTAAATTCCTCGGTTTGGCCAATTGGATCACTGAGGCGACACGAAGCATGGTGTTTGCACCTGCTTCTATAAACTTAGTTAGATGTAGAAATTCAATTAGATTTGTGATCAGTTTTTTTGTGTGTTTTTGGCCAGAATACTTCCCTGGTGCTGCTGTGCATTCCTTAGCGTGTCCCAGCAGGGGGGTGTATCTGCTTTTCCTTCTACCAGTAAAGGATGGTTCCTTAGAGAGGGTTTGGAAGCCTTACATGATTATTACCTAGATCCCTTTTTTTTTTTTTAAATAAAATTCAGGGTTACAGAATGGTGATTCCTAATTCTGTTTCTCCTTCTGCATTTATTGGCTGTGATTGTCTATTTAAAAAAAACTTTCCTTCATGTCGTGTTCGCTTCCCCTCTTCCTTATGCTCTCCTTGCCCCACAAGTAACTATCTTTTATTAGTTTGGGTTCATCCAGTGTTTCCTTTTGGAATCACGAGCGGATATACGGATATATCTGGGCCCCCTCTCCTCCTTCCTGTCCTCTGCAGCTTGCTTTTCACTTGACAGCATATACGGGACTCCCGTGAGTGTGGGTACGGGACTGTCCCGGCTCCTTTTCCGCAGTCTCCTGCGTCTTCGTTCCTGCCTCCACGGTGCTAGGGAATCGCACCAGCGCCAGGCTTAGCAGCCGCCAGCCCTGTTCCCCAGGCGCAGGGCCTGCCAGGCCTAGTCGCCACCAGTCCCTTCACACACGTGTGAATTGGACTTTACGGTTTAAAGAGCAATCCGCTGTTCCTTATGAGCTCTCAACCACCCAGCGCAAACGCAGGCAAAGATGTCAGTCTCGTGTGTTGAATGTTCGAGCAATTTTTTTTCTTTTTGTTCCTTAAACGGAACAGCGATCTGTTCTCTTTCGGACTTCTGTGTCTGCTCATCACATCCCAAGGACAGGTGCAGAAGCTGGCCAAGACTCCAGGAGAGGGAGGAAGAATGGTTTCACCTGGGCAGTGGCGTAGGGCGGGGGCGGCTGCTCAGGGCCACGCGGCCCTCAGCACAGGACTGGAAGGGGCGTCTGTGGAGCCCCCGACGAGGTGGCCAGACGGCCATTGAACAGCCCTCCCTCCTGCCTTTACCTCGTCCTCACTGCTCACCCTTATCCTGTTGCTGAGTCTTCACGTCTCTGGAAAATCAGCCTGACCTTTCCTGACCGAATTAAATGTCCTGATTGCAGGCTCTTTTTCCACCATTTACTCTTTGGTGGCACAATTTTATATTTACCTTTCCCACTAGACTGTAAGCCAACAAGGGCAAGAATTATTTCTAGGCTTGTGTTATTTTATTTTTAGTGCTTGGCATATAGTAGTTCCTCAGTAAATACGTATGGACGAAATTATGTAAATACTCAAATATGGATCTACCTCTTGGCCTTGCCTACCCCTGATAAATCAAGAACAAATGAAAGGTGTCATATTTTACTTTCAGAAAAACCGTGTGTGTGTGTGTGTGTGTGTGTGTGTGTGTGTGTGTGTGTGTATGGGGGAGGAGAGATAAAATCACTTATAAGGGGTTTTGATAAGTTAGTGAATAACAGCTCACAAATGGATTAGTAAGGTATTTATTCCTCTAGAAGGTTGCTGGGGGGCCTGGGTAGCTTAGTTGGTCAAGCGTCAGACCCTTGATTTCAGCTCAGATCATGATCTCATGAGTTTGAGCCCTGCATCTGGCTCTGCACTGATAATG